TATTATCAAATTGGAGCCAGCCATTGAGCGTAATAATGTAGTTGCATCGTCACCATTTTCCGCTGGCGCAACGGCCGCCATTGGCCACTCGTACCGTTGTTACTATGGTTGCAGGCCGTCGATGCTCTTCCTGAGTTTTCCATTGGAATTACAGCTATGGCCGATTGGTTCGCTACGCATAGTCTTGACGTGGTTGACGACACTAGAAAATTGTTATTATTGTAGTATGAGTTTTGAATTCGTCGTCTCGAGACGGATTCAAGGGGGAGCGGATTCAATGAGCGTCGAACAGGAGGGGATATATGCCAGTTAGCGTCCCTAGTACGCGGCCGTAGCGGCAATGGCACATTAAGTTAATGTTCAAAGAAGTATAAATAGGTGCACTGCTATTGACCCTGCCAGCATTAGGCAGCCTTTTTAATGATGAATGAAAGAGAGGAACAGGAACGTATGGGGTTCGACGGAACCATTCAGGGGGGTGAATAGGTGATTATTATTGATGAGAAACTTGAAGATGGTGATATCTGAACATATGTTCGCTTGTAATATTCATGTACACGGAAGACGATGCAGTATAGTTTATTGATAAATAATTTATATAATAATAATAAAAGCTGCTGAAATTTGCTTTTCCCAAGGCATAGTGTAACTAAATGTGCTACCCCGTTTGTTAGCACGCGTTCTTATGACATCAGCCGAAACTAAGATAAATTGCTTAATGTCTACTGAATCCACCGCTCAATCAGGGCTTCGCTGGTTGAACTGTACGATTCCATATGTGTGGCTTCATAGCACGAGGCTCTGAACGAAAACAGGCCCGACCGTATCCGGCATAGCAACTGTGTGGAGGACGCAGTGCGAGCCGTACGGGCTCAGAAATTTAGAAAACCAGCCAAGGTTTGGAAGGATGCAGGTATAGGCCGCGGGTACGGCCGCTGGCGCCGGCAGCGTCGAAGGCTTAGATTGTCAAATCCCGTAGCAAGGATGGGTACCCGTCGTTGTCGGCTCAGGGAAAGCTGGGGACATTTGCAGGCCGGACGCATTTAAGGGGGCTAAGAGGGAGCTTGAGGGTTTGCAGTAGAGAGACGAGAGCTTTGCTCGGTTGCCCGCTCCGCTTCAGCCCACTCTGACGCGGCTAGGCTGCTCGTACCATTGGGGTACGTCGAAGCCTCGGAGGGCGCCCTCCTCCTCAGGGCGGGCCCGCCTACCCTCTCCAAACTCTGGGCACTTACAATCGGATACACACATGCACAACACACACATGCATACGCAGACACATCGTGGGCCACGGGACGATGCGGCCCGGCTCAGAGCCGACAGCCAGGCCATCACAGCCCTACAGCCATAGATCGACGAAGCGGGCGGAATAGGATCAGCAACAAAAAATCTTCCGCTTACAACAGCAGCAGCAGCCGCCGCTACAGCCTAAACAGAAATAACAACCTGCCGCAACAGCATCATCTACTAGCGAGAGCGGCAGAAAAATAGTAGGAAGACCTTAACAGAAGAATAATAGTAAAAGATCGGTGAGCAGCAGACGACGACGACAACAATAACGGCATCAAAAGTCAACGATATGGCCGAGAACATCCATTGATATCGACAGTGCTCGTTATAGGGCCCCGGGCTGCGCTAAAAGGAAAATTACCAGATACGTTAACCGTGCCCCTCGTCAACCAACGTTCAGCTGGACAGTATATTAGTATTTTGTTAGGTTGTTTTTATTATTGTCGTCATTAACGCCATTGTTAATAACAAAAAAGTCAACAAGAACGACAACACCTAACAAGTGTGGGTTGTGTCGAGTTGCTGCTGCTGCCGTTGTTCAAGCTGCTGATAAAAAGAACAGCAACAACAAGAACAACAAAAAGTCCATATCAACAAACACAACGAGCAGTGCGCGCCCGGGGAACATAGTTGACAGAAGCAACGACGACGACAACAACAACAACAACAACAACAATAACAACAGCATCTTAAAAATCTGTGTGTGGGTGTGTATGTGTGTATCGACTCAATTGTGCGTTCAACTATCACCTACGACGGCGTTGTTACATGATCGCCAGTGCGAAACGGCCGCAAGCGCTAAATAAAACGAACAAGCCCAAAGCACAACTATAGGCCACAAGCACAGCCAGCAAATGCCCCTTGTGGCTGAAGATGGAATCGTATCAGACAAGGTCTAGCTGTTAAAAGTGTGTCACATTACCAGAAGTAGCGGTAACAACCATTACGATCAATATCTACCATCGAAGAAGCAATTGGAAAAGGCAAGAACAGATTGAAAAGTAGTAGCATTCAATACGCGCAATCAAACTGAAAACAACAACGAAACGTACAAAGGACGATCAAGGTGTCGCTATCGGTGCTAATCGCGCGCACGTGAAAACGCAGCAGCGGGCCGTCACCTGACGTCATCACCGACGAATGCTGAAACCACTTCATCGATGAACACCAATAGCACCAACAGCAGCAACAACAACAACAACAACAACAACAACAACAACAACAACAACAAGAGCAACAACAACAATAACAACTACTACACTGTTTAATCGTGTGTTCACCCATCCCTCCAAAGGAGCGCAGGCCAGCCAGCCAGCCAGCCAGCTTTTCACTTCCCTATAAAAGAGAACTTAGAAAAGGGCAGAAAAATATAAGAAAGGAATCCAGTGACGAGTTTCGTTAGTGAGTGAGTGAATTTGTCGTGGCAGTCGAGAAAAGGACCAGGCCAAGAAAAAAAGCGACAGACAGAACAGATCGACGAGAGACAAATCGTTTAAGACCCTACGACGAAGACCAAAACGTGTTGAACATTTGCTTCGTGTTCTCAGGTGCAGGCGTCCCACAACGAAAAGGAACTGGGCGAAGGAAACGACCGAGGCTAGCCCCGCGGCCTCTAGGAACCGAAATATTTGTAAACATTTTGACAAAAAAAAAGAGACAAACAAAAGAAATCAGGGGAAAATTTGGAAAAAACAAGCACGACGTGCAACAATCAAACGAAATCGATATCAGTCGACCGAGCTAGTGAGCCGAGTCCGAAAAGGTCGAGCGCTATCGAGCATAAGCTCATTTCACGACCGCGCAGGAAGAAAACCGAATGAATCCCCGTGTAGAACAGACCGTATTTCTCCTGTGTTATTATTACCACGGTGACCACGACGACGATAATCTTGATAGGCACATCGATATCTGTACCAGGCAAACACGGTCGTGCCAGGACTGTGATCCTTACTCAGGGGTCGCGGGGAAGCAAAAGTAAGTAACTGTTCCGGAAAATAGCTTTTATAACTAGTATAGAAAAAAAAAAACAAGAAGAAAATGAAGCAAGACGTGTTTTGCTGACGTCGATATAAACGGACGCTTACATTATCTTTATTTTCCGTCAGGCGTTAATAGGTGAGGTAATAGGCTAACAGGTGAAGATCAATTAAAAGGAAATTTATCTTAAACAAACAGTTCAGCCGAGATAGATAACCGTTTAATTGCTAAAGCATCTATTTGTCACAAGCCATCGAAAATAGCGCTTGGGAGGAGACACTCAGAACGAGCACTGGCTGTGATGCCCACATGCACGGTCAGTGGCTTCGTACCGTTTGATTTCACTGCATTGGCCACCGTCGCAGCCGGCTCCTCCGGGGCTTCGATTCCCGCTCTATGCATAGTTAGCACGGTGAGCTAACGGTGGCTGGGCACCATTCGCAGTAGAGATATTCGATCGGCGTAAAGCTTTTATGTAGTGTGATCACAAACCGCTGACCATTTCGAGGCCTCCGTCCGCTATAGCCAAGAAACGATCATCAGCGACAATGGCAACCACGGGCCATCCAGCATTGCGCCGTTGAAGACAGAAATCTTCTCACCCGAGATATATATGGCGACAGAATTACATTTCGCAGATACCATAGAATGATCATTACTTTCTTGTACTGCTGTTGACCGATACTGAATTTTTACGCTGCTTTACTCAGCCTAACTAACATAGCTATCGAGCTTATGCGTTGCAACCGTAGCTATATGAAGGTCAAATGTTTGTTGCCGGTTACAGTTAGATGGACTGACCAAAACTTACTCCATATGGCTAACGTATAAAAAAGTATCCATTTTTAGATTTACACACGAACAGGCTTTAATCCAACAACAGCAGAAGTTTTATAGACACTTATCCTGTATTTCAAACAGTTTTTCCTATCGTTCTGAGTTCGATAAGTGAATTTTCTTTCTGACGTTTTCTTAGAGTGAACTAATCAAATGAGCTAAAATCGACTTAACGTAATTTGGATACAAAAGCTTTCTATTAAAAGCTTATTCTCGCTTCGTGAATTGGTTGGCATGAATAAGACAGGCGGCCTTGAAATTTATCTAGCGTTTTATCGCTTTGTACATTTACTTAGATTTAATATGGAAGGAAAAAGCTATAGAAATTTTCTAGTATCTAATTTTTTTTTCCCTATAATTAGTTGAACCTATTACATCGACGAGACTGCGTATAACAAAAAACTGCCTTCGGCGGTCCTGCTACTAAAACCTTCAGCCTTTTAAATAGCGATCAGAAATGCTCCTGTATTACTTATTCTCTGCTTCTCCCTTTTCCATAGCCTGCTCATTGTAACAACGTTAAATTAATAGTACGAAGCCGACAACTTCCTATCTGTGCAAAAAAAATAGCGTATTAATTGCTTTCTTCGGGACCGCTCACAGGCCAGCTGTCTTGTAGTAGATGTCTACACGATGTTACAGAACTGCGTGGCGACCGTCTGCTCATTGACACGTGCAGCCTCATGCACATACAGCCTCATACTGCAGTCTGCATGTGCGTCTGTTTCTCCCAGCGACGTGTTGATCTAGGCAATCTGGTCGTGGCCGTATTCCATCCACGTGCTTAAATGACGAACGGTTACAAGAAATTCGACTGCTATAGTCATTTACAACACTGCTTGACAGCGACTGGATACGATCTGTTCTAAATGATACGGTGCTTACACGCTGGAATCGTTGCCATATGATTACCTTGACAAGGTCTTGTTGGTTCGAGGCGGCCGGCGTACCTGTGGACTGCTACAACGTAAAACAACATTATGGACGAAGATTTTGTTGGAATACTTCGACAGGATCGGGAGAAAGTTCGAGGCTGATAGGCAAGTGGAAGCAGGGGCCGACTAGAAGTTCTTGCATCATGTATCGGATTCCCGCCACAGTTGTGAGTCGTCAAATGTTACGTTTTCGTCCTGATCTAATTTACTTGATTTCTGCAACTTGCATTCTCTTCAAAGAGTCACGATCACCTGTCTGTTACTCGGTGTTATTAATGGGTCGGTGGGTTCGGTGGAGCCAAGCAGGGCCTACGCTAGCAGTCCCGCGCGCTCCTGGGGAGCTACCTATGGTCTGCGCACATGTAGCCCAACGTACAAGGTTTGCTGGCGGCTTTTGCTATGTATGAAATCCGCTGAGAGTTAGCATCGGAAACGAACTGGGGCAGCTTACAGCGATTAACACATAAAGGGGCTAATAACATTAAATAATCAGTGCGGGAGCATGTGTATCCACACTGTACTTTTGTGCGCGGGCACCTTACGTGTGCGTCGAATGGCCTATCGGCTTGTCTTTGCCAGCAGCGGCTGACCGCTGTCGGAAGTTAGCAGGTACGGTCGGGCTCGCTACAAACTGCGATTATTAGCAGCACGCTTAATACTGGGGTCACGTTCACTCTAATTGCCCCCTGTATACGACCTCTTGTAAGCCCTGACTGCATATCCCACTCACAGAGGCGATCCCCAGCGGTCAGTCTGCCGGAGCCACCGTGAGAGCGACTCCGTACTATTCGTAGGACTGGCTGAGCCCTTGTGCGGATCCTACGTCAGTTTTAACTACACATTATATGATAGGCGTATAAGATCGTCAGGTTGCGCGATCGCCAGGCACTGGTTGACCCCAACCTTTTCGGGGTGGGCTTGTGTCATATTCTGCAATTGCATTTTTGCTGCTGCTGCTGCTGCTGCTGTCACCATGGATGCTATGAGAAGAATCTTAATATTGCCATTTATTCGGTGGTGATTTAAATTTTCGTTGTTGACATTTTTGGTTGAACCTGATAATCTACCGTGCTTCCGTGGCCACTAAGTACATTATGATATATTGTAGAAGGCTACGTGATTTATAGCCGATGCTGACGGGGTAACTCTCCAATGCTCATCGTAATCAGCCTTTGATCGGATAAGGTCAGGACAAAGTAGCGTAGGCCGCGGATGTTATTAGCAAACAATGTAATTCGGATGTTACGAAAATTTGTGGCTATTGTAAAAATTTTCTGTAGTATTTACGCTTTATGTATATAATGTGTCTAGTGTACTTAATAGGTGGATCTGTTGTTGTGTGGTCCAATTCTGTGATAACAGATTCATATCAGAATTTAGAAAAGGGCTCGATAACGTAAGCTGTGAGGATATTTTACATAGCAGCCAATCATATTGTGATCCGAAACCATAAAAGCCGTTCATTGGAGCGTACCTAGGCATATACTAGGCGTGCTATTGATGGTTTGGCCCGCGGCGAACGGGACAGAGACTATTAAAATCGTTCGCTTTATCACTTTGACCGAAAGTAGAGAGTTTAAACAATACGGACTAATGGAAAAATAATTTTAAAATAATTTAACGTCAATGTTCTAGCGCTGAGCGTTCTCAGCGAGGTATACGAAGAAAGCCTACGACTGTTTCTTACGGCAGCTGTTGGTTGCAGGCCACATGCTGGGTCGCTGGTAGGTTAACATCATTTAGAAAGATCATTATCTTGTTGATAGTTACATAAGATTCGAGATCTCTCGTCGCTAATTTAGCGATATGCCTTGTGTTGGTAAGCGTATTACTTACCACTGGGTCGAAACTAACTTTCGTAATTGCCACCAATTTTCTATTTTTATCTTTACTTGTCCAATGGGGTAGCAGCTAGTTTCTTTGATAAGCCTAAAGTTAAAACTCACACCGCTGGTTGAAGAGTTCTAAACCCGCATTGCATTGAGCTATGAGTTCGCCATATCGATGAGCTAATAAATTTCAGAACTTATTATTTTAGGCTCCTTCGAGTCGTTCGTCTTTTGGCCGGCAGTTGTTTTCTGTTTTAGATGATTTTCACGACGAAGCTTCATTTTGATTTTGGATTCGTTCATCGTTTTTGACGATTTATTATTGAGGCTACGAAGAGCTCGACACGCGAAGCGTGACTCGACTTCTGGGTTCGAAAGTATCCAATCGTTAGTAAAACGGAGCCGGGGACGGTTCTCTTGGCCCATCCGAGTTCCCTCACTGCCCCGTCTTACCCCGGGCTTGGATGATAAAGGAGAACAAGACTCCTGGCGCCGAAACTCAGAAAGATCTTAGCAAAGATATGAGTCTCGGCTCTGTGCGCGTGTACATGTATGCAGCCGCTTTTGCGAAGTATATTTGTAGGTGCAGACTTCCTGCATTCTTTCTTTGAACGCAACATTCACTATTATAGTTTATGTATCCATATCGTACTGACGTTGATACGAAGCGCTTCGTTGACATTTTATGTTGGCGGTGATCTTGGCTTGATAATAATAATAAAGATTGGTTTTCGTGCGTTATACACGTATAAGCTTCGTTCGAAATAATGTACAGGGCGTAGGATCTCATCAAAATCATGTAAATCTAAATGGCTGGCTCTGGGACTGTTATCGTATCGCCGCATACGATCCGAAACATTTGATTGGTTAGTAGCCATTAATTAATAGTCAAGCCAAGGCATCTCTAACAGTGCGTGGGGATACTAGTCTGAATTTCTTCCTTCCATGTCGGCAAAACCGATCTCGGAACGAACGTTCTGAATTACGTACGGGGAGATGTTATTCAGTGATTATGGAACGTGGCGTCAACTGTGACGAGGCTAATGGCTGCATAACAGGCGATTTGAGAGAGAAAGCCGGCCATTTCTATGGCTATGGCTATAGCTATGCTCAGCTGTCTTGAAATTACAAAGTTCCGACCACTGCAATCGTGCAAACGTTAATGGCAGTCGTTGATTCCGATTGTAATTGCTACTAGTAAAGGCAGTGCCTCGGACGGATATGTATGCGAGATTATTTTCTTGTGATACTGTTATCATCAATCAAATATAGTACGTTTAATGTGAGCTTATCGACTGCGGCCTAATCACCCGGTGTTCGCCGTCACGGTCGTGATATCTAGCCCCCTTATGCGTGACAAATGTATGATTACCTGTTAACTTCTCTTAGTAGTACCAGTAATACAACTCCGTGAAAATTCGAGATTAGTTAGTTAGCATTTAGGTCTAGTATCTAATCAGCACGGTCAAATATTTGTGCTGTCAACGCATAGTTTGACTGGAGCTTTCACAAAGGTCCAGCAGCTACTGATTCTGATCAGAATCATTTCCCTTGCATTGCACCAATGGAACACGTTGGATAATCCTTTATAAGAAGTAATACTGTTATATTCTTGAAAGGGAGCAGACAAATGTAAGTTATGCAACTACCGTTGATGTGATACTATGAATCACATTCGTTGTTGCTTTGGCGATCTGGCGAGACAAGTTCCGTATATACGTTTTACCAACTCAGGATATCGAGTGAATCTTCTACGAAATCTCTCGGTTAAAACAGCAACACTAGGTTGCTCTGTGCTACCTAACCCTCTATACCCGATGATAATATCGTTCTTTATTGTACCTAAGGTCACCACGATATAGTTATGGCTGGAACAAGTTCCCGCGGTTCCACTTGCCAAATACAATTCGTTGTTTGCGTTAGCAGTCGGCTTGTATCTATCCAGCTCCTACGCCCATCGCCGTCATGGACGACATCGGCTATTTTCGTCTATGGGGCGCACTGCAGCTTCTATAGCGTTTGAATGCCATTTAGGCTCAGCCATTGTCCGTTGAGTACAGCCTGATGGATAAACTGACTGCCGCTACACTCAATCGTCAGTAATACTTAAATTATCGTCTATTCTCTCTCAACAACTACTAGTACTAGTACTATGGCAGTTCTTATTGTTTGGACAACAACATTTCATTGGAACTATGCATACAGCGTTCGCTTACCACTGCGACCGTTCGTCACCTATGGTTCGATATCGCTCCGATAAGAAGTGGACTTTTTGAGATAGCAGACGGGGGGCTCATGTATCTATTCAGATCAGAGGGGAACTTCTACTACTAGCACGATAGAGGGTAGTGGCTGGGGGGATGACTGTTAGGAACACTAGTCAATGTGTATACAATTTCTTCGTTTCGGGGAGCCCCGTGCGCTATTGCAGGTCGATGCCTGCTGATCCTCGAGATGATGTCGGTACACGGTGGTGTTGTCTTTTCGCAAGAGACGAAGCTGAGCCGATTCAAACTGACCTTTGGCGAGAATCGTGGCCGTGTTTTGCCAGTTTCTGTCCGTTCACTGTATTAGTCGCCTACCACGCCACACGTCTGGGGGTCACTCGTCCGCGATTTGTAAGCATCGAAAGCACTCGCCTCTTGCACCGTGTTTGTGTTTTTCGAAGAAATTACATCGCAAAAGATTTCGATGGCTGTAGCGCAACACTCGGGTACGCAAAAATCGAATGGCGATCATCTATTACTATTGCAATCGGCTTCGTCGTGCTTTTCGCGATCTTCTCCTCAAGCTGCTGCCGCCGTCTGCAACTAGGAAGGGACAGTGAGAGTGAAAAGCACATATGAGAGAGGTACTACATTTACAGAGAGAAAGGCCGCACCGCTACGCGGCTGAGAACTTTGTCTGTACCTAGGACGACTGCTCACTGGTAAGAATAGTGCAAGCACGACACTTCATGGCACTGGGCAAATTTCGCCGAATTCCCAAAAACAAACATCGAATAGATTCGCAACCAGTCCCCCCAAGCTATGACTTCGATAACAATGCGGGCCTTACCGCAACCACTAGCCAGCCAAAATACAAAAAATAAAACATAACGAAGAAGTAGGACAACTCGCAAACAGAGGTCGTTGTCTTTTTGCTAGGTCTTCGTTTTTTTCGTTTATTGCCTTACCGCCCACTTTTCACTGGGTTTCCTTTTTCTTTCTAGTCTGCCTTTAGGTATATCTCGGATCGCTTTGCGACATAAGCATTTCAAGTTGCATATTGTATTGACGATCAGCGCTGATCTTCTCGTGTCCGTATACAGAAATTCGCTGATTGGTGCCAGTCTTACCGAAGTCAGAAACTGCAAGTTCGCGAAATCTCGAAGAGCTCGGCGTGATGCATGGCACTTGATAAAAAAAAATAAGGTATACAAGTACTCTCCCATGCAGGCAGTAAAACGCCTAAGACGACTAAGTCATCCTACACAGGTTGGCCATCACAGGCAGAATCAACATTGTCATGACAGCTGCAACACCGACAACAGAAATAGCTTCAAGTGGAGCAGAAAAACAATATTAGTGATTGTCTCTAGTAACAAACCGCGTCCTGTTCAACATGCATCCAAGACCCTGGCGCAGGGCTGTAGCTTCGTGGCCAACAAAACGAGTTGTACGAGACTTTTACCACTGTCTGTCTGTTGGTACCTGCTAATGCCATAGAGGGGTGACGGCCCACAAAAACAATAACCAGCCCTAGCACTGCATCCGAAGCCCCGAGAAAAAGCAAAAAGACAGTGTTTAGACTTGCATGTCACGAAGTGATGCACGTAAACGAAAGCAGATACGAAGAAATCGAGCAACGTAACGAATCCTGAGGCTGTGCCTATTTGTTGTTATTTTGCATCTAGGGGGCAAACGTATGAGCAGAACCGCGCGGACGCACTGGGCACCAGCCATCTGCATTGTTAGGCCTGTTGAGTTGAAATAGAGCAGCAAAAAATAGTATAACTGACACATTCCCAACGTAGAACATAAAAAGTATACAGGGCAAAATGGCAGCAAATGAACTGCTTTCAGTAGGGTCAGTCGTGAGGCTGTGGCAGCCCGGAAACGATAACAAAGTTGTATATTTTCAATTCGGAGCTACAAGTGAATCAGGAACATCCTGACACAAACAGGGCGCCAATAGCGTTTGCCGTGTGTAACTTGCTATTTAATTATTGTTGTACTACGGCATCTTAAACAGAGAACGCTTCATTCGAACGTGATGAATCCAAAATGATCTCACTGCTAATTGTATAATACGAAACAGGAACTATATTGAGGAAATTATAAACAAAAAAAAATAAAGATCTATTACTTATGACTGTGAGCGTCTAATTTATATTAACTAGCCTGCAGCCAAGAAGTGTGACACCGTCTTTTATGTAGTTAACGTAACTTAAACGGATTTCAAAGTACGATAGGTTTGTCGCAGTCTAACCGGGCTGCAGTAAGTAGCCTTCTCAATTAGGGATGTATACGCATTTTAGGCATCACCCCAAATTAATCAATATAAATTCTATTAAGCCCAAAATAGCGTAGTAGAACATTTCTTCAGTTTGTATATTTTCTATATTTGTATTGTAGGATTGCATTTCTGGTTGCACTGGGTATGTGATGTCCTTTACTAACTAGATATAGTTATATTTAATGTTCGTTCTTTTCTACTCCGGAATTTCTGACATAGAGCAGAAAGTCGTAATCGCGTCAGAGTAGAACTGCACGTTCCAACGTGGACGAAACTCCACTTTTCTGTAACAGAAATATTGTTTGGATGCGTCCCAAGCATGCCGATACTGGCCAATGTGAAGAGAAACGTTCTATCTGAACATGATAATTGCAGGTACGATACATCGCTAATCCGTATATATAGATATATATATTCGTGTAACTTCTATTATATTTACGCTTCTCGCTAGTTCACGACTAATTGCAAAAATAAACTTATAATTAACAGAGATAGATAGATACTTAGATCAACTGTGGGTAAACGTACGTATTGCTTAGCAATCTGATGTTTGACGAATGTTCCTGCTGTAAAAATGTCTACTTATTATTTGTTATAGTGGCCCTTAGACGTCTGTTAGTAAATGCTAATTGAAGTTCTCATGTGCCTCATTGAAGTTATCATCTGCCTTTGGTCAGACGAAACCCACCTGCGACATTTGCGACAACGTAAACCTATGAATAGGTTAAAGTGGGTGGACAATGCCAATGGCAGTGGGTCGGCAAAGTTCTAGTGATCACAACCTATATCCATCGTCAAGCAAATTACGTTGAGATCAGACGATCTCTTAGCCAAAATTTCTAACGATTGCCTATGGCTATATGGCTATATAGTTGGCTGTACTGGACAATGCTAGAGCGAGACCAAACCACAATTCTCACATTAGCGCTCTAGCTCTAACGTTACTTCCGGTCAATATCTGTATACGTGGTCTAAATGTTACATTTTTCATGTGGCCACAATTTTAGAGACGTTCTGTTATTGTCGAAATTAATTTTTAAATATGCATTTAAAAGGATCAACAACTTAGTCCGCTCTATTGCGAATATTAAGTTCCAATAGGACAAACACAGGCCCACCAACACCCCACATATCCGTTTCTATTATGGATAGTGACACAAACAACAAGTATCAACAGAATTGCTCCTAATGAAGAACGTACGGATAGTATTTGATACAGCCTCATCCGTTCAGATAGGGAGCGGAATGGCCGATCTTCGCTTTAGCCGTTCACTGTTGCGCCCTTTACCCATAAACATTTTTCGAAAGCGATAAACAACGGTTGCGTCCCCGAGCAGCGATGTCGCCTGCTTTCAGCACCAAAATTCGACCGATATAAGCACTTGCAGTTCTGTTTCTTCAGCATCTTGTCGCCAGCAGCGACTAATGAACGTCCGAGAAGAACCGTAGATAAGGGAAGTAGTATTGCCGGCCGAGCGTTGCAGTACGTATGACGCACAACCGCCAACATACGACACGGTCCACGGACGCTAGAAAAGGGAAGGATCTATACTGAAATAATACAGTACATGCTATACCGGGGCGACTGTGGACAGTGCACGGCGATAATGTTATCGTTGAGGTTGTCGTCGTCGTCATCGTATCTTTGTCCGAAGGCTGAAGAAGCAGCAAAGGACAACGACAAGATCACTATGACGACCGGAATCAAACTGGAAAGAGAGATAGGTTGTCATTCTGTAGCATGTTTCTTCACTTTGTTTCCGTGCTCTGGCCTGTTTTTCTTTTTGCTTTTCCAACGACACCCGTTGAATCCCGTCCCGTCCACTATCAAATACTCGAAAAAAGCACTTATGCACCTACTTGAGGCCATTCGTTCGTTGCTACCTCACCATAGTAGAGAGATATCGATAGCGTTTCGCAAGCCGCCCCACTGCTGTATTCGTACTGTAGTTGCTGGGGACGTTCCCGCCAGCGCTGCACACGTCATCGCTGCTGAATGCTGCTACTTCGTGCTGATGCTAGCGAAAGGAACGATGACTATTACAAAGTGCTTTTTGTCCTTCTCTACGTTGCGTTGATACTTTTATCACCGCAGCTGCTGTTGATATTTTTGTCGTTAGGCTTGTTGTCGCTAGTAAGCTTGTTCGATCGGCTACATCATCATAGACAGCCAGCGATAAAGAACTGACGCGGTCGTTGAATATTTATCTTGAATGGCTTGCTTTTTTGTGGCTTTCATTGCTGCCAATGGATTCTCTTCAGTAAATAAAAATCAGTAAACCTGTGCAAGAGTTAATTGGCATTTTTTTTTCCTTATCTTATTTTATCCTTATCGTTTTGCTGCTTGTTTGGCTATCGCTTCTTATGAATCAGTTTTGCACCAGTTTTTTTTTCTGTGTTTAGGAAAAATCGTCACGTGTTTATACGCGTCCATAATAAGTCAACAACATACCTTGTCAGTTTGCTGCGTTCTTATATTTTTTTGCTCTACAGCTCGAATGTCAGTGTCCCGGAATAGCGTGCCGAAACCGCGACAGAGTGTGCATCTTTCAATTCTAGCCGTCTTCTTTATGAGCTATCTATCCATCCGCTTCGCTTTCCTCTCTGGTGAATTGTGTCTTCGACGAAGGCACTAACTGGGGGGCATACGTGACCGACAATGGCGTCGACAATGATTTTATTACTAGTAGTAACAATAATGGTAGAGGCAACCGAAATATGTATATTTAAAGTTTTCTTTGCAAGTGATTGAGTGGCATGTATTACTCGTATGTTTATAACAATTCTCTGTGATTCCCGTGCTCAGCTGCTGATTGCTACTGCTACTACTAACATTTCTCCGATTACAGTTTTTTTAACGTTGGAAATAAATAAACGAGCTGTTTCAGAGAGACGATTGCCAGGAAAGACTGTGCTAGTCTGTCTAGCCAACGATACCAGGGTGCCAATGTACTATAGAACGTAGTGCTTCGCGGAATTCAGTTCTATATTAGTTCTAAAACGGATTGTCAGATATAAGCTCACTCACTTACTTGCGCCGGTGCTCCGTGTTTTATCTCGTTCGTTAGCAGTCGCTGATATGGCGTGAGGCGGAGCACAATACACCTGAGACAAATACATGATTTAGAGGGGCGAAAGAAAAATATGACGAAACTAGTTACAACAGAAGACGAGCCATGACTGAATGCGTTGTCGTTTGGCCTGGATCCGTTGGCCATTTTTCTACGCATCAGACGGTTAGGCCATCTCGTCTGACAATGTTGTCCGATATGCTCGAAAACTGCGTATCGCCGAAAAACCGAACAGGTCGTTAGCCAATCAAGTGTTTAGCGATTCTTTCTGAACAACAACAGGTACAGTGAGCAAGTACGAGTCGAAAATATGCGCTGGACAAAAGACATAACAGGTAGAATGCCTTTTAAAAATCCGTTTAAATTCCCACCGTTTGCCACGATCAAGACGTGTGCCGTATGCCCCTTGTATATCCGGTAGGTATTGCTCAGAAAACGAGTTTCTGAGTAGCAAACTTGCGCTGCGTGCTTTGTTCCGGTAACGGCGGTGGCCCCATCAACGGTTGGGATCGCAGGAACAGAACTAAAATCTGTAACGGCAGCAGAAATAGCAACTGCGAACCAAACTGAGACGAAGAGGTAAAACTCATGTTTACAGGACCTATGTATATATTTAAATGCGCTCTAGTGCCTTTAGTGCCACTGCAATCGAAAACGAAAAGCAAAAACCTGAGGGCAGCTTTTCTCCGATTTTTTCGTTTCCGTTGAAATTAGCCATGTTCGTTCGTTAACATCTACTTGCAAAAAATTTTCCCCGTGAGTACCGGTTTTTCGTCGGCCTGATACCTTTCTTAGAGTAACCGTTTGTTTAGTCGACTTGGTCGCGTCTGCCTGCTTTGTCGTTTGTTCGTTCCGTTAAAGTCTAGGGACAGTGCGAAATGTAATCGAAGGGAACGCATTTATAGGTTCGCATCACAGCCGTGTCCGTCATCGAAAGAAATGGCCAAGAAAAGCCTACAAGCTGTTCGAAAACGGGTTTCGGACTTTGTTTTTCAACATCTGACAAATCATCATCACCTTGAACAAAACCATTGCCGTGAATAATAACAGCAACAATAACCAGTCAGCCGCTATGTCTCTGCTCTTTAGTGGCTCCGCTAACCACTGGGTTATAATGAGCAGGCTTCGGGGACAGGCAGAAATCACCATTAAAATCTTTCGAGCGATTTTCTCTCTAGTACGTTTAGCAAGCGTCACTGTAGATCAACACAAATCCCGAGAGAGCCTAAGGGGGGCGGGTAGACCTGGACTTTTCTACGGATCGGAGAAATATTCCGTTCGCTTTCAGGTTCTCTCTCTCTAGTTATCTTCGGAGTTTGCTGTTATTATGGTCCCGGTGCGATGCGGCCCGTTACAGGCTAAAAATAAAATGCACACACGGTTGCCATCGCTATGCAGCTACGGCATCTCCAACAGCAGTGACAATCTGCAGTGGCTGCTGGCAATGCCTCCATCGAAGTTGTCTCGCATGATCTCTCTTTCTCTGCTCCTTCTCTCGTTCCTGAGTTGCCTCTAGGCGGCCGATTCTATCCTGCAGTCGCCACCTCCGTCAGCGTCTGAACACGCGCTAGCCACAGTCTGAACTAGGCGGTGGGTTGTCAGACGCGCAGGAAGCGAACGCGGCTGGCGACCAAGCAAACACGATGGAGAAAGCAAAAAGAAAAGTTGAAGAGCGGTAGAAACGCGAGAGAAACAGTTCGCTCGCAAGGGAAAACCGGTT